GCCAAATTCATTTAAAAAAACACTCGCCATTCAATGTGCCATAGGTCAGAGTGGTTATCTTTTGTGAGTGTTCAAATTCATACCTGGATTCAAATCCCTTGGCATGAAGCAGGGAAGTTTACAGATTAGGAATGCTGCACTGAAGCCTTCCCTAAATGTGCATCCAGACCACTGTCCCTGCAGAGGCCCAGACCCCCTAGGGACCTGAGCTACAGAAGTCCCAGTACTTAATCTCCGGGAGCAGAACAGTCATGATTACCCATATACCCAGCAAGGCCAGTGTGGTAATAGTCCTTTAGAAAGTCTCTCATCCAGCCGGGCACAGTGGCTCATGCCTGTAATCCCACTTTGGGAGGCTGAGACAGACAGATCATGAGGTCAGGAGATCAAGACCACCCTGGCCAACATGGTGAAATCTCATCTGTACTAAAAATATAAAAATCAGCTGAGCATGGTGGTGCGTGCCTGTAGTCCCAGCTACTCGGGAGGCTGAGGCAGGAGAATCGCCTGAACCCTGGAGGCAGAGGCTGTAGTGAGCCCAGATCGCACCACTGCACTCCAGCCTGGCAACAGAGCGAGACTCTGTCTCAAGAAAAGAAAAAAGGGAAGTCTCTCATCCATATTTTCAGCAAGATTTTTTAAAGAAGAACACTTTTGTTAAAAGGGAAAATGTCCCATCAGAAAAGATTGCTGTCAACTGCAAAATATGAATCACTAGCAATACTGAACACTACAGGAAATCCAATCAATGAATGAGTTGAAAGATCAACTAAGAAAATTCACTCAGAGTTGTGAATAAAAGAATACTGAAATGAAGAGAAGTTTTAAAAATTTCAGAGACATGGAGAAGACTGAAAAGATTCAATATAAGTATAACAGGAAAGCCAGAGAGCTGGAGAGAGCACACACAGAAGGAAAGGTAACTTGCAGTAAACAAAAGCATTAAAAGCTTTTAAAGTGAGTGCCAATCTCCAGGCAAAAATTAATGAAATGAGATTCACACCTAGATGATGATCAACTGTCTGAATTCGAAGTGCTGTGCTGGCTTAGGGCAAATGACTTATGAGTGGAGGAGAAGGTGAGGGGTTCTGACAGGTCAATGATGGCATCAGGAGCTTTGGCATGACTAGATCCCCTCTGGAGGCTGCAGGCTGAAGGTGCTGGGCTCACAGCATCACCCCAGAAACAGAGGCACGCTTTCTCAACAACTGGCCATGGCTCTCCTGCGGAAACTGAGCTGAGAGCACAGAGGCATCCCCAGGCTGTCCAGAAGCCTCTAACCCCACCCTCCACACTGCAGGGTGAGCCTGACCTGGCCTGCCCATTCACCACAGGCAAAGAGGAGGTGGGCAGAGGGCTTGGCAGAATGAGGTACCAGGAAGCATGCCCTGGTGAGGTTGACAAGGAGCGGAAGAGAATGAGTCAGGACTGGGTGCTGACCTACTGAGTCAGCCAGGCCAAATGCAGGCAGGACCTGTGGTCAACCAGGGAGCCACCTCCCCAAGAATAAACTTTTGAAAGAAGAAAATACTTGGTGAGTGTTTGAAATTCATAAAGGAAATGGAGGGCAAGACTGCTGGAAAAGGCAAAGAAACAGATTATTCACAGACTCCCCTCCAAGACTGATAGGGGAGGAGAGCAATGTGACCACCTGGTCTCCATTTGGGACACTGTGGAGGCCCATTGCAGCTCGATCCCCTCGCACCGAAGAGGCAGCTGTCACAGCTGTATCCATCTTAGCTTCTCCCTCTGTCCAACCCACTTCCCTCACCCCCTCATTGGTACTATTCCCAGATACATCCCCCACAAACCTTGCAAACAAATCTGGGTCTCAAGGCCTGCTTCCCTGGGAAGTAACCAGGAAGATCAATTATCTCCTCACTGCATATTTACATTATATCAATTTAATTTTCAAAAATTATTCTATTTAAAAATCATCTTTATTTTAATTTAAATTAAATCCCAGTATTACAATAGTCTTTTTTAAATCAGGGATCAAAACTTTAACTGCCAGACATGTGCAGTGGCTTACATGTGTAAACCCAGCACTTTGGGAGGCTGAAGAGGGTGGGATCAACTCAGGTCAGGAGTTCAAAACTAACCTGACCAACGTGATGAAACTCCGTCTCTACCAAAAATACAAAATTGGCCAAGTGTGGTGGTGCATGCCTGCAATCCCAGCTACTTGGGAGGTTGAGGCAGGAGAAGAGCTTGAACCTGGGAAGTGGATATTGCAGTGAGCCAAGATGGCACCACTGCACTCCAGCCTGGGCAACAAAAGTGAAACCCCATCTCCCAAAAAAAAAATTGAATTGTCAATAGAGCTGAACAGGTAAATAATGTCTGCGAGGGCCAAGTAAAGAACAAAGGGGCTGGCAAGAACTGTGGCACATGGAGGACTCAGGCCCAAAGTGTCATAATTTAAAAAACTGTAAGACAAATTTTGCCAATTTGTGTCCTATGGACTGCACTTTCACAAAGACTGAATCAGCATTCACACAATTTTGCAATCGGCTTTGTTCACATGCCTTTATGTCCAACATTTCACCATGCTTAGGGCCTGATCCTGACAATTACAGTTTACAATGGCAGTCTGCACATTCTCCAATGAGGCAAGTTGCCATCATTATTCACCATTCCTTCATGGTTGAGATGGATAAGCTGCTGGGAGATGACCTAGCAATGCTAGTGACAGTGCTACATGGGGGCGGGTACACTGAATGTCACCATACTCATTTGTGAGCCCAGATTAATTTCTCTAAATTTAGCTTTTCAGCACTGCTCCTGATACACATACAATAAGCATGGCAGTTTCATAAATACAAGTGATCACAGCTGTCTCACAGATAATATAACCATCTTACCATTGCACAAATATCTTAAAGTCTGGAGAGAAACTTCTTTGAGGGTAGTGGTCAAAGCTGACCATTTCACCTAAACATGAAATAAAACAGAAACCTTTAGATTATCTAACAGTCTGCATTCTTTTCATGCCAGCGCAAAGGCTAGACTTCTATTCTAGTTTTTGTTTCCCTGTGTTTCCTAGAGTGGCTTGTGTATCCTAATTTGGAAGTTTTCCTTTCTGGCCCACAATTAGGGGAAAAAACAATAAAATTAAAAATGCTTTAAAGTCTGGACTCTTCAGAGCATACAACAGAATCATATACTTCTAAAAATTGGAAAGGGATTTCATAGATGTAACTCAAGTCTTCATTTGACCAACATGAAAATCCATCAAGGTAAAGAAAGGAGGCAAAATGCACCTAGAGTGCCTTTCTCTGAATCCAAGGTTTTGTCTAACAGTCCAACCTATCACCTAGAGAAAATGAAGCTTGTTTAAAAAATGTCATCCATTTATAATCAAGCCTTACCAGAGTTCTCTCCTGTATCAGTTCTCTTCAAGCTAATCGCACACACCGTCTCATTTTTAAAACACTTAGATCTGACTCTTACAGCCTTGAGGGGTAAAACAGATTAAAACTCATCAAGGGCTGGTGGGCACTGAGCTTACCACCGAGGTACAGCACACTTCCATGTTTCTTCCTCCCTTTCCCCTTCTGGCTTCAGTCCCCCACCTCTCCTTCCCATGTCTCTCCCAACCCTCCCAGCACCTGGCTGCCCCTCCCATCTCACATCCTCCCACGCTGGCCTGCCATGGGTCCTCACATAGAAAGAAGTCTGAATTTGTCTACTGGCAAACCCTGGCTTAGCCCAACTGAGCCCTGGGGTTTTTTCTACAGCCACAGCAAACCAAGCAACTTGCCCCCCTGAGAGAGAAAGAGAAAGGTCTACTTGAAGAGGTGATACTGGATTGAGATCTGAGGCCAGGAGGGGTGTGGTATGGTACAAGGAAGGAACAGAAAGCAGGCCCACGCATCTTCCACAGGTGTCAGGACAGGAGAACAGCACCTGACCACATGCTTGTGCAATGACACTTTATCTAAGACTCAGCTCTAAGGCCACTCAGCTACCTGAGATGACATCATCAGCGGGAACAGGAAGAGAGCTCCAGAGCTCACAGTGACTGTACCCTAAACTCCACACCTGCTTATTACTAGAATGGTAAATAATAATGAACTGGCCTGTATACAGTTATGACAGGTTTGGCTACCAGCTTCCAGGCACACAGGAACAGATGGGAGCCAGAAGATGATAAGAGAGGAATGACAAGAATGCTGGCAAGCACATGACGACGAGCTGGTGATGTCCAAGAGCTGGTGTGGGCTGACCACAGCCATCAAGAAGCCCCAGAGCATCTCCAGAGTCAAAGGTGGTACCAGAATTCACATTAATAGGGAGGGATAACTTAAGTAATGAGAAAATAGTAAATGAAAAAGGCATGCTTGTGATGCTTTAAGCACTGTTTTCCATCTGAAATGGATAGCATAAGGCTCTGGATATCAAAATTTACAGGAGAGGTAATTTTAATGTGTAGTTTATACTACAATTTCATCATTGATCCAATTACGGTTATCTCTTGATTTTCATTCTCTCTTCTTTCTTTCCTGTATGATTCAAAATCCTTATGAAAGCATAAAGTGCAGGCTGTCAGGGAATTTGTGGGGGAGGAACACAGAAACACAAATATGAGCGGGCAAACACAGCACACAGAGCCACATATCATATCCCCATCACTCATACTTTGTTAACCTGCAAATAGAGGCTGTTATATCACATTTTGGGTCCAGTCTGAAAGCATATTAATTCCACATAACTTCGGAAAGTATTCAGACTGAGGCTGGAGAGCAAAAGAGACCAAAATAGAACCATAAACAGATAATTTTCGTAATAGTTTTTCACCACTATGAATAGGCTCTTTGTTTATCTGCTTACAGATCAGAAGGTTAGACTGCTTATAATGTAACCTTCTAAGATTTTTTAAAAATTTGGCTGCTGGTGTCAGAGAGAAAAAGGAGGACCAATTAGAGAAAGAGATGAATTCTCTGGCAGATAAAACAAAGGGGATTTTCAAAGGATTTGGAGGTGGCTGGCACCAGTTCTTTACTGGATATAGTTTTACATCAAAATTTATTACTTTATCTTTCTAGGTTTATCATAAACCCTAATCTTAACACTCAACCATAATCAGGCTTAATTTGGAACAAGAAGTTGGAAATTAGGGGAAGGTTAAGAAGGAAAAAATTGTGTTATTTTTCCTTCTTAACCTTTGCTCATTTGCTTCAGGAAAATTAATCTTTCTTCTGAAGCAAATGAGCAAAGGTTAAGAAGGAAAAAGAACACAAGAAGAAAGGTATTGGTAAAAGAATATTTACAAATACATATGAAAGACTGAGGGAAAGGGGACCATGGTGGTATTAGGTCTCTGGGACAGGGATAAAAGGAGACAGTGGGTGGGCAAGGTCCCTGCGATAGCTGTACCCACCACCCCGCCCCAGGAGTTCCACTGGCTCAGGACTTCTGGGTCATCTTTGTAGTAGTGTAGGGTGAGGAAAAACTCTTATCCACAAACTTTCTGGAGATTTGTGCCGCTAAAATAATTTTTTAATCCCAATATAAAATATTTGGCCAACCACATTAGTTTTGAAATATCAAGCCTACTTTCTCCTGAGAATTCAAAAGTTTCCTAGAAATACAAAGGACAGCTGCCATCAATTCATTGAAACTACACATTTTGCTAAGGACTCTGTAGGGTATTGGAGACTATGGAGATGGCAAAGATAAACATGGATACTCAGATGGTTCTTACTTAGCTGGAGAAGCAACCAACTGCAGCACAATGTCCACATGAAGGTGGACGCTAGAAAACATGCCCCCTGGCTAAGCAGGGAGTGGCAGACAAATTGGATGGAGGGGGACAGCAAGGGCAATAGAACAGCAGAGGCTGGGTCTGGTGGGAGGACAGCCCTAGAGGTGTTTTTGTCTTGTGATGCTGAAGTCTTCAGGATACCTGGAACCCTTCAAAATTCTCAATATTTCACCATTCCTTCTATGATACTACATAGGCTGGTTTGATCTAATTGGAACCATATTAAAAAAAATTTTTAAGTAAAATAGAATTCAACAAACTAGAAATCCCATACCTAAAGCACATTTGGGAAACATACTCAAGAGGTAAAATCCAAAACACTTCTCTGAGTTAGAAATGTTTATAAGTCTGGCTAAGGGTGGTAGCTCATGCCTGTTATACCAGCATTTTGAGAGGCCAAGGCAGGAGGATCCCTTGAGGACAGGAGTTCAAGACCAGCCTGAGCAACAGAGCACGCCCCTGTTTCTTGGGGAAAAAAAGTCTAAAACCATAAAATCACAGAATGTTAAAATTACCGGGAACTTTAGAACTAACTATGCACACACACCCTAATTTTATATATAACGCAATGAGGCACCAAGAAAAATTTATGCTGTTAATTCACCTTTCATGTTAAAAATAAATTCCAAAAGGAAAATTTAGAAAAAACCTGATTTAAAGTTTATTATAAGGTGAAGGTATTTAAATCCATCGAATCATTATATCTGAAAAGAAAAATAGTAAGATCACTGTAGGCCAGGTATGGCAGCTCCTATCTGTAACCCAGCACTTTGAGAGGCCAAGGTGGGCATCTGAGGTCAGGAGTTCAAGACAAGCCAAGGGAAAGGAAGAGAAGGGGAGGGGATGGGGTGGGGTGGGAGGGGAAGGGAGGGGAAGGGGTGAGGGAAGGGAAGGGAAGGGAAGGGAAGGGAAGGGAGGGGAAGGAGGGGGGAGGTGAAGGAGAGAGAGGGAGGAGGAAGGGTGGAGGGGGAAAAGGGAGGGGAGGGAGGGAGGGGGGAGGAGAGAGAGGGAGGGGAGACAAGGCTAACATGGTGAAACCCCGTTTTTACTAAAAATACAAAAAATTAGCCGAGCGTGGTGGCACATGCCTGTAATCCCAGCTATTCAGGAAGCTGAGGCAGGAGAATCACTTGCACCCAGGAGGCAGAAGGTGCAGTGAGCAGAGATCACGCCATTGCACTCCGGCTTAGGCAACAAGAGTGGAAACTCCATCTCAAAAAAAAAAGGAAGATCAATGTGGATGTCCAAAAGGCATTTTACAAAATTCAGCAGCTATTTCTGATTTTCAGAACTATAATATATTAAATGATAATTTCTCCACTTAATGGAGAACACCTACCACATCATCACTAGTGCCTCTGAGCAGATAAGTTTATATCTATGCCCCTGAGTAGACAGTTTATAATTTTCACAGATGTCGTGCACATTTCTTATTTCTTCTCAGATTTTACACATTTTTTTCATGCTGTGAATGAAACCTTTTAATAAACCATTGTGGCTGGGCACGGTGGCTCATACCTATAATCCCAGTACATTGGGAAGCCAAGGTGGGTGGATCACTTGAGCTCAAGAGTTCAAGACCAGCCTGGGCAACACAGCGAAACTCCGTCTCAACAAAAAAATACAAAAATTAGCTGGGTGTGGTAGCCCTGCCTGTAGTTGCAGTTACTTGGGAGACTCAAGTGGGAGGACTGTCTGAGCCTGGGAGGCACAGATTGTAGTGAGTCAAGATAGCACCACTGCAATCCAGCCTGGGTGACAGAGCAAGACCTTGTCTCAAAAAAATAAAATAAACCATCATTTCTGATTACTAACATAAAACTACTGTTACATATACATCTACATCATACAAGCATATATACACACACATACACATCTGAATATATACTCATTTCCAAGCTGCTTACCTTACTAAATTCTCATAAGTTCTCATAGTTTTTCAGTTGTTCTCCTTGGCTATTCTAACAAAAGAATTCTAGAACCTACAAGTAATGCTAATTTTGTCTTGATTTTAATAACCATTTTTTAAAAATCTTACTGTTTTGGCTAGTGTATTTGAAAACAGTGTCATAAAGTCCTGTATGGGCACCACTGTTTTGTTCCTGACCTTTATAGGGATGTTTTTAGTTTCCTGTTAAGCATGGTAGGTGCTGCTTTTACAGCTTTTTTTTTTTTCTTTAATCTTAAGAAAAGATCTAAGGCCGGGCGCGGTGGCTCAAGCCTGTAATCCCAGCACTTTGGGAGGCCGAGGCGGGTGGATCACGAGGTCAAGAGATCGAGACCATCCTGGTCAACATGGTGAAACCCCGTCTCTACTAAAAATACAAAAAATTAGCTGGGCATGGTGGTGCGTGCCTGTAATCCCAGCTACTCAGGAGGCTGAGGCAGGAGAATTGCCTGAACCCAGGAGGCGGAGGTTGCAGTGAGCCGAGATCGCACCATTGCGCTCCAGCCTGGGTAACATGAGTGACACTCCGTCTCAAAAAAAAAAAAAGAAAAGATCTATAACATTCCAACAGGAATTAAATGTTTATGAGGTAGATGTTAAATTTTATTAAATGCATTATTGACATACAGTGATGGTCATTTTTATCTTTAAATTTACTGATTTTTCCAGTTCTATTTATATAATAATATTTTTGCATTCTTAGAATAAGCCACTTTTTAACCAATGATGTAGTATTTTAAAAAATATATGATTGAATTAAATTTGGCTTATATTTCAGTCAAGGAGAGCATCCACATTAGTAAGAATATACTGTGGCTTTCTTTGTTCGTACCATCTTTGAAAAGCTTTGGAATCGGAAATAATATTAATAGTATTAACACTACTTTCATCAAAACAAGTTGGAATACTTTCCACCTTTTCTGTACTTTGGAAAATTTTTCAAGTTTCTATTATTTGAATAACACCTTCATAATTCTGGCTATATTTGCATTCAACTGTCTTATGTGTTTAATATTTTTCTGCATAAACTTAATATTGACTCATTTCTTCTTTAACCTGACCTGGTCCTAAACAACAGACATAATTAAATGTACTAGTTATAGTTTTTCTAACATATTTTAATTATTAAAATAAGAAATCATCTGTACATATCTTATATCATTACCTATGCCCTTTGTAATAAGTAATACCTAATATCTTTGGGAAACATACCACACAACTTTAAATAGCACAGAAATTATATTTTCCTCATATTTGAAAAACTTTACCTATAACACCATCTGGATTCAGGATTATTTGGGGAGCTATTTTCTCAAGTCACTTTGTGACATCTTCCAAGATTATTTTTCTGTCCAAGTGTTTCATTTCTTTATGAATTGATTTTGGTAATTGTTTTTTGTAGATAATTTCAATGTTATCAAGATTTTCTATTTTTTATTCTAGTTTTTTAAAAATCTCCAACATCCCTGATTATATACATTCTTACATAGCTAACTTGGGGTATTGGTGTTATCTTATTTCTTGATGAGTCTAACTAAAACTTTATTGTTTAACAAAGAGCATACTCTTTAGATTTTTCAATTCTAGTGGTTTTCTTTTTTGCTTATTCATATTTATTCAACAAATATTTACTAAATACTATTCATGTGTCTGGTAAAGTACTAGGTACTGAGGAAAGAGAAGAATGAAACAGACATGGTCGTGACTTACTTCATTGATTTCTGCCATTTTTAAAAACTCCCTCCTGTTTTCCCAGATTTCTTTTGCTGTTTCTTTTCTTTCGAATGTCCTTTGTGTAGAACTTACTTTATTTTCATTCCTTATTTTTTGATAATAAATGCTTTCAGAGGAATAAATTTATTATTTGTAACTTTATTAGTATTTCATATTTTTCTAAATGATCTATAATTGTAGTTTTCAATTCCTATTTGAGTCAAAATTTCCAAATAGATTGTTTTTAAAATGTCAACTTTCATTATTTACAGTTTTATTGCATTATGATCACAGAGTGACCAGTAAAATTTCCTTTGAATGACAGTAATGAGGATTTTTTTTCTGGCCTTAGCATAAATCAATATGTTAACCATTCCATGATCATTTTGGAAAAATGGTTTGTGTAAGACATGGTTAAATTCTCTCACTACACTTGTGAGTTTTTCCATGCATTTCAAATAGGTCTTGCTTTAGTTACTTCCAGTTGCTATTTAATGAGTGGACTTTGTAACTGCTACTTTTTCTTCTTGAATTGTACTTTTGTCAGTATATAAGGTCCTATCTCATTTAATATAATTTGTGGTGTACTGTCTTTAACTGATACTACTGTTTCAGTAGAATTATTTTTTAAGATAGACAAAGCCAAGAAAGATATCCACAATTAAATCACATTTTGTTTTACTCTCAAGAAAGATACTGCTACGCACAGAATGGGAGAACATTTTTGCTATCTATGCATCTGACAAAGGTCTAATATCCAGAATCTACAAGGAATTTAAACAAATTTACAAGAAAAAAAAACCCCATTAAAAAGTGGGCAAAGGACATGAACACATACTTCTCAAAAGACATTTATGCCGCCAACAAACATATGAAAAAAAGCTCAACATCACTGATTATTAGAGAAATGCACATCAAAACCACAATGAGATACCATCTCATGCCAGTCAGAATGTCGATTATTAAAAAGTCAAGAAACAACAGATGCTGGTGAGGCTGTGGAG